TTTCTTTCTTTCTTTCTTTCTTTCTTTCTTTCTTTCTTTCTTTCTTTCTTTCTTTCTTTCTTTCTTTCCCTTTTACGACTAATATGTCCTGTGCAGAACGCCAGCCCCCGTGCTAATATGTACCTTTCATGAACTCGTGCATTTCATCCTCACAAAAATTCCATGTGCTACTATTTTTTCTCTTTTGTATATGAAGAAATGGAGGTCATGGGGATTTTTAACTTGCCCGAGAACACTGAGGTGGGAAAAGATGGCGTCAGGACTTGAATCCCGGCCCATCCAGCTCAAAAAGCCTTATTAACCTCCTCATCATTCCAACAGTACTGTCTTCCAGGCCTTTGTGATGGCAGAACTTTTCATGCCGCCCTCCCCTCCCCCCGCCCCGGCTTTCTTTGATTCCCTCCCATGTCTCATCATTACATTCATTCACCAGCCTGTCCATTCTGCCTTGAAGAACATTCCTTAAATCTCCTCCTGCCTCTCTATTTCCAGAGCCACGTTCCTTAGGGTGCCCATTGGTTTTAATTGCGTCTGAGTGCTCACTTGGTTTTCTTCATTGAATCGTTATTTCATGTTATTGTAAAGGTAATCTTTGAAAATTCAAATCTGATCATGTCATTGCCCCGCTTAAGAGCCTTCTAAGATACCCCTGACTGAATAGGATAAAATCCAAACTCCTCAACACGGCACAGAAGGTTCTCCAAATATATCTTTGGTCTATCTTTCCAGGCTCATTCCCCACCTCCCTGCCTCTTTCTCTTCTCTTTGTGCTGTTTATACATCCTTGTTATCATGAGAACTGGGATACCCTCAATTTAATTAATCTTGTGTTCGTGTAAGAATTGTGTCTTCACTTCACAAGCACCCTGTTTTGAAACTAACCCAGGATTACACTCATACACACACACACACACACACACACACACACACACACACACACAAGCGCATTTAAAGCCTTAATCATATTGTGGCAATATACATTTCCTGGTTTTGATAATGACTGTATATAGTTGAGTAAGTCGTAACCAGTGAGGGAAGCTGGATAAAGTATAGGCAGACCTTCTCTGTGCTATTTTTTGCAACTTCTCATGAAGCTATAATTACTGCAACTTAAAAGGTTTTTAAAATTGGGGCGCCTGGGTGGCGCAGTCGGTTAAGCGTCTGACTTTAGCCAGGTCACGATCTCGCGGTCTGTGAGTTGGAGCCCCGCGTCGGGCTCTGGGCTGATGGCTCAGAGCCTGGAACCTGTTTCCAATTCTGTGTCTCCCTCTCTCTCTGCCCCTCCCCCATTCATGCTCTGTCTCTCTCTGTCCCAAAAATAAATAAACGTTGAACCAAAATTTAAAAAAAAAATAAAAATTAATGTAGCATGTGTTTTCTGCCCAGGAAGCAGGTTAAGAAAAATGTAAGACATGTAAGTACTCTACCTTTATTATTACATTGTTGTATTACAGGACTCGTCTTGCTTGCTCTTGGAGCCTGGGCTAAGAGGTCTATGTTGGAAAGAAAAGCAAAACCCTTACTAGAACTAGAGCTAAGACCAGGCTTTTGAACCAGACAGACCCACGTTGGATTCCAGTTCTGCTGTTTTATAAACTTAAAATTAACTTGGGCAAGTCACTGAACTCCAAACCTCACTTTCACCATAATTATAAAAAGTGAGGGTTTGGGGATACTTAAACAAGGTAATGTATATAAACAAGGTCATAAACTTAAACAGGACAAAATGTAAAGTACTTAGCTTATGAATAAACATGTTTGACTTCTCTCTCGCCACATCAGCAAATCCTGTTGGCTCTTTTTTATTTTTCAAGTTTTTTTTTAATGTTTATTTATTGTTGATAGAGAGAAAGACAGAGCGTGAGCAGGGGAGGGGCAGAGAGAGAGAGGGAGACACAGAATCGGAAGCAGGCTCCAGGATCTGAGCCGTCAGCCCAGAGCCCAGCGTGGGGCTGAAACTCACAAACCATGAGATCATGGTTTAATACAAAGGGTGGGGCTTTTTATTTTTTTATAGTTTATTAATTATTTTGAGAGAGAGAGAGAGAGAGAACGTGCACAAGTGAGGGAAGGGCAGAGAGAGAGAATCCCAAGGTGAAAGCACAGAGACCAACATGGGGCTTGATCCCACGAATCGTGAGACCGCGACTTGAGCGGAAATCAAGAGTCAGACACTCAACCACTGAGCCACCAGGTGGCCCTTAAGTGACTTTTTAAAATATGGCCCATTCTTTCTTTTTTTTTTAAGACAGGGTTGTTTTTGTTTTTTGGTTTTTTTTTTTAACGTTTTATTTATTTTTGAGACAGAGAGAGACAGAGCGTGAACAGGGAAGGGTCAGAGAGAGAGGGAGACAGAATCTGAAACAGGCTCCAGGCTCTGAGCTGTCAGCACAGAGCCCGATGCGGGGCTTGAACCCATGAACCGCGAGATCATGACCTGAGCCGAAGTCAGACACTTAACCGACTGAGCCACCCAGGTGCCCCTGGCCCATTCCTTCTATGAAGTGATGGTCATCTCTGGACTTTACATTTGGCTCAGGACCACATGGTTGCTGCGGCCCATTTGCAAATGATACTTCACCGTGGAAAAGGCGATTCAAACTCACCGATATCGTTGCAATGGTGCGTGTCCAGCCTCCCGACCCCCTCCGACCAGGTGTCCTCACTTTGGGAAGAGTCAACATCACCAAAGATATTTCCATGCTGCCAGGATTTAGAGGCACCAAGGCTGAAGAGATTAGAAAAGGAAGGGCGGATTCTCTTTTTCTTTCTAAATATCCTGGAAAGAAATGAAAGCATGATACATAATGAAAAGCAGCCCCCTCGGGTTCAACACCGAGAATTTAGTGAGAATGATTTGATCTATAGAACGCATCTGCAAAGCTCATTTCATTTGTTCCCTCTGTCAACCCCACAGAAGTTTCTTAAACTTCTGTGTGCTCCAGGTGCCTGGATCGATATCTAAGATACTGAGATCCAAGATCCAACCTTGGGCACAGAAAGTTCACAACCCATTATAGGAGAAAGACAAGGATAAGGCAGACGAAGCTAATGCCTTCATAGAGCTTTTCCTGCACCAGGGGTCTTTCTCAGTGGTTTACATATGATAACTCACATTATCCTTGGAACAGCTTTGGGAGGTAGGTACTGCTGTGACCCCATTTTTTCAGATCAGGAAACTGAGGCACGAAAGGCTAAGCAACTTGGCTGAGATCATCCAGGAAGTGTCACAACTGGGCTGCAAACTGAGGCAGGCTGGCTCTATGGTCTCTTCTCTGCATTACCAGTGCTATGTAGGGGGCTTGTGCTCTGATGGAACTAACTAGAAGCTGCACTGAGAGCACCAGGGGAGGCATTGCTGATCGGGAGTCAAGGGAGGCTTCCCGGGGGAGGAGACCACTGAACTGCATAGGACTATCTGGTCTATTCATTGAGGAACAGGTAGGTCTTATATTAAGTCATGCTAGGAAATAAGGCTGGGGAGGTAAAAATAAGGAGGGAATGAATGAAGAACCTTGAAAGTGACAATAGTGGAGAAACTTGAATGTCGTGTGAAGGAGTTGGGTTTTGACATCGGAGCGGAGGGAAACCACTGGGCACGATGGTGACGTAATTTGTTTCACATTTCTGAAGGATTTTGACAACTCACACATCCACACTGCCAGCAACGTGTCCTCTACATTGTAACCAGTGTCACCGTGCTAAGGATAATCCGGTCATTTGTCAATGGTTCCTCTTTGCCTACAGAACAAAGCCCAACCCCCTTAGCTGGACTTGAAAGTTCTCTGCTCAGCCCCCGTGTCTGCTCAGTGTTCTCTCGTGTTCCTTCCACCCTGAGGTATATCTCTGCCCAACCACCCGCCATTTCCCAAATTGTACAGGGTCTCCTGGAAGTCTCCTTTGCTACTTTCATTTTAACTGAGATCCTCCTTCTCTCCAGACTCAAATCGATCTTCATTATCTCTAGGAATCTTGTTTTAACCGGTTTCCCCGCGTGAAATAGCCTTCCTTTCCTTTTCTCCTGCCCTGCAGTCTATTCAGACCTCCGCCCCGGCGCCCGTATCACTTGATCACCTTGGTTTATTTTCATGTCAGCTATCCCTGCCCCTTGTCGGTCTTTAGGCTTCCATGGTCTGGAACAGGAATGAGCTCTCGTAAATCATTGCTGAATGAACAAATGAATGAATGCGTAATTAATGGATGGATTGGATTTTGGATTCTTTGACGTATTATCCACTACTTACCTAACTAAATTCTCCTTGTAAAGAACACTGGCCTGGGGTGGGCTCAGAGTTATGTTGCCATCTTTGTCACAGAGGAAAGGGTCCTCTGTCCAAACATAGTAGCCATTGGAGAGGAGTCTGGGACTTCGGCGACAGGTCACGTGGGAGCCCGTCAAGAGAGCTGCAGAGCAGCCTTCAAAGGAACTGTCACCATCCGGGAAATCACAGGCAAAACTAAAGAGGGAAGAAAGAAAGTAGTTTACACCTCCACCCACCACGTCCAGGCCCATAGGAACCACATTTCTAACCACCATGAAGGAAAACAGCTCTTTGCGTTCGTTCACGGCTACCTCTGTGCATGCATGCATTCAGCCACCCTGAGAATGTCACTCTTAATCTGGGCTTCATCTCCTCGCTAGTGACAGCATTGGACAACAGGGCATTTAGCGCTTCGTTCTGTTTGAAACATTTTGATGAAAACATTATAGGCTCATCAGTCTCCTCGCCATGGGATGCAACTACACCCTTGACAGTAATCCATTTTCTTGGATGGAGAAATTGCAGACTGGCCTATTTGGGGTGCTTATTGTATGAGCTTATTTATTTGGGGTGCTTATTATATAAGTTTATTATTACAAGCTATTTGGAAGCTTACAGTCTCCACCCCCCTCCTTTGAATAGTCCTCCAATTGCCATATCCTTACTCTTTCCCTGCAATAGATAAATTACAACTGTGCAGCCATCAGATATATATGAGTTACAAGGTGAACACGCAGTCAGAGAGATCTTTTTGACTTTGGCCAATTTCCCGCCTGGTCAGTTACCCAAACGACCATACAGTCTGTGATTTGGTATCCAGGGAAATCTCTTAATATTCAGCTGGGTAAATATCCATGTGTCTTAGGTTTGAAAAACAATCACATGCCTGTGTGATTGAAAGGCAACATCATGCCGCATGCTCTACTGAATTTCTGGTAAAGTGTTAAATGTAGAAGCCTGTCCGCAATTAATACACGCACTAAAGTTAGTAAAATACTATTTTAAATGGATATTACTTATTGAAAATGTACTGTGGACCTGGCTCATAGTTAATGCTTTATCTACTTTTCACTAACCTCCCCAAAAGCTAAGTATTGTACGTAATCATCATTGTACTGTAGGAAAAAAAATGTATATGTATATGTATATATATGTATACATATATACACACACATACATATATATATACACATATATACACGTATATATATATAATGTATATATACATATATACATATATAATATATATATAATGTATATATAATGTATATATATACGTATATATATGACATATATACACGTATATATATATAATGTATATATATGTATATATACGTGTATATATATATATGATGCAGAAGGACAAATAACTTGGATATTTTATAATAGCCAGTAAGTGATAAAACTAGGATTCAAACCCCTATCTGGAGTGCTCATTCCACATGGCTGTTAGTTCGTGCTTCGCTGATTTGACGGTAGCAAGAGGCCTGGCATTTACAAACAAGGGCAGGCTCTAACACCAATGCATGATTCCTTTATACTATTGGCACATTTTACAAAATGCTAGAGAAAACATCAACTGAGGCCTGCGTAAGGAATAAAAGACAGAGAGAAGAGACAGGGGAGGAAAAAAAGAAGGAAGGAAAAGGAGACTTCTTGGAAGAACTTGAACAAAACGGTCAACTCGACATGTTTTTGTAGAACATGGCATTCGGCCAGCTGGTGCATTGGTGTGGGATTTTGTTGCTCTTATAAATTGAGATAGCAAAGCATATTTAGGAGAACCTTAGTTCGGGAAAAAGTAATCAGTATTCAGTAGTTTCTTCACTCCCCAAACAATTCACTTTGGCTGACACACTCACAGCCATGCCCCACCCCCCACCATTCCGTTATTAGGTTATGCAAGTTTTCATTTTGTGTGTGCATGGGACTGAAGATTTATGCCCACGCCAAAGCTGGATGGGAGCTAAAACTAACATTTTTAAACCAGGAATACAAGAAAATGAGACACACAGGGAGAGAACCGTGATTGATGTGGCTTGCGAAAAGTCCCATGGAATACCTTGGGAAAAGGCATCTGGGAGACGGCTCTCCGGTATATCTTCTCTCAGAGCCTGAAGAACCTGCAGAAGCAAACGGGAGACAAGTGCAAATTTATCACACCTCCCCACCACGCATGACTGCAAATAATGGAGGCTTTAAAGAAGGTGTGAGTAGTTCCTGCCTCGGCAGGGAATCCAACTGGTGCGGCCATGCAGTGAAATCAGGACTAACCCAACTTGTCACCGGGGCCCGAGCCAGAAATAACCCAGGGGCTTCTGTCATCTGTTTCTCCTCTCACTCCGTATTCCTCTAGAGGTTTCTTACCGGAGGATGAGGGCAATAATAAACCATTAACATCAAACTGACTCATCACGAAAAGGAGGAAGAAAGTATCTTGTGTGAAACTGTAGAAAACCAAAATCAATTACTCGGTGTGCTAGCTTTTTTTTACCTTACTCAGTAATTTGAGGAATTCAATCATTTGCTTAGATTGTCTCTCATTAGCGCATTTTAAGGCACTCCCATTGTAAACTAATGAGGAGAAGACAGTAGGGAAGGAAAAAAAATAAAGTTTTGTTTTGTTTTATATTAATAATTTTCCAACGTATGAGGCCTGCGAATATTCTTCATTAAAAATAAATCATCCTTCCATTCATTTAGCCATTCACTCCACTTTAACCAAAGGCATAGCACCTAATTTCAGCTGGGGAAAGTGCAGCTAATTAATATTCTACACTCTAAAGCACGATTTTATATAGTCATGTGTGAACACTTCTAATAGGCTCGGTGAAACTGGATTCCGTTGTGGACGGTTAGTATCTAAGACAAAGCAAGGAGCTTAGACTTTCAGATTGGGCTGGTTGGTTTGTAAGGAGTAAATTGTAGGTGTGTGAGGTGGGGTTAGAAGCAGGGTTTGGGGAGAAAATGACAAGAGGAAGGAAGAAGCTTGAAACCACGCCCTTACTTTTTCTGCAAGTAGCTATCAAAATCATTCAGTATTTTTTATAGACAGTTTTGCATCTTAATAGTAGCTGATAAACAATCTCCTTTCACATTTATGCACAAGCATCTAGAAAACCAGTGATTTCTTTTTCCCCCCACTAAAAAGACAAATACCACATTTCTCTCCAGGAAAGAAATGAAGTCAAAATCATTGCCAAAGTGAACACTGGCATTTAAGAAGCACAAGCTACTGACAGATGGTTAATGGTATGAGTATCAGCAAAATCAAAGCAAGGAAATTGCTAAAAGAAGTCTAATCGTTCGAAAGATAATTGCGCGTAGCAGTTCTCCTACATTTACTTGCCACTGGTGTTGACATCAGTTGAGATATTCGGTACATCTTGGAAGGCTGCTTGTTCAAACTTCACAGATTTTCTGAAAGAGACATTAAAAAGGAGGTGGATTATATATTAAAAATAGAAAAATGATGCCAAAACAGATGGCATCTACTAATTGCACTAGTCAGGCTTGTTTACTGAATGGTACAGAGATTTAGGGCTGAAGGAGGAGACTGGGATGAATGACCACCAGGGTTGCACCTGCTACAATGTTATATTACATTTTCCATCGTCTGGCTTGGTGCATCCAAATAACCTTTTTCTGTAAATAAGAACAACATCTTATTTGGGAAACCTAGATTGATGTGGTTGATTTGTAGTCAAAATAACTAATGAAAACGAATTATTTGATTAAGAAGTCGGGAAAAAAAATATTGGTTTTAGAGCCCTCTAACTAAACGTGTTTGTATTTTCGTCATGCGATGCACATCACCCTCATTATCAAGTTTCAAGCGACACTTGGGGATCGGTGTCCGTCTTTTGCACAACACCTCAAACCCTTGACAGGTGGTCATAGAGAGGGCTGGTGGTCTTTAAGAGGTGCTGTCAGCCTGGACATGCGCAACCAGTGCAGGCAGCGTTGCCCTAAAAATTGTCTGCCACCAGGCAGATTTCAAAACTCAGTTTGCATGAGCATGTAATTTACTCTCTTAATTACAAATTAGGCATATATCCAAGTGTGTAAATTACGTCGACTTTGATCATATGCCATTCACCGCATAGGTCCACCTGCCGTAGACCATGATACTTTGTACACAGCGCTGTTCTCATAGCCTTGCAAGGTAGGACTGAATTCTTGTTCTGATTCACCACCTCTATGCACATTTTGAAAATGCGATGTCTAGTAATGGATTGTTTTTGTAGCTGTCACGCATCAAGTCAAACCAGGATAATCCTAGAGCTCCAAATGGATTCTTTCAATAAATCATATGCCACAGCTTTTAGAAAATATAGATCCTAGCTTCTAGAGACCTTTAGGGGAGTCAAGAGAACTTTCTGGCATTCCTTGGAAGATCTCTAAATCAAAGCACACATTCGTAGATGTCGCTCATTTAGAATATAAACCAATATTGTTTGCATCATAATATAAAATAGTTCGTCACTGTCCTTTTGACTTTTGATCAATATCATCTGAAGTGCGCAGCTCAAATTACACCGTGTTAGCTTTCCCCAAGCATTGAGTTTAACTTTCAACCAACAAGACCTGTGGCCGAAGGCAAGGTTTTCCTGCTATGTCTTACAATATTTGCATCAGGCCACAGACAGTACAGTTGATTAAGGACTAGTCACACTGGAAAAGCCTTCAGTAACAGCTCTAAATCTTTTCGAGAAACAGCTTCTGTCTACCAGTCCCATCAGAGTCACACATCCGTTCTGAAAAATAATCTGTCCATACGTGTTCCTTCCAAAGGGAGTTCCCAGTTTCCTCTTCCCACTGATGAAGAGGAGAATTACTGAAGTATGAAGCTTCCTGTGGCTGACGGTGGAGAAATCCAGGATTCAGCAGGCTGTCGGCTGAAAATAAAGACAGAATGTCAACAGGTGCAGGGAAGTCTCATAATAAAGAGAAATCCCCTTCGCTCCTCCTAACAGATGCTTGCACGCATTACCGTGGGCAGGAGTGTGCAGAGAGGTTTTGTCTTTGGCGGCCTCTTGCTGTTTTGGTTGTTTCCTAGAATAAAAGGGCATGTCGTTCTTGAGAAAGTCAGCCTTATAACCGCTCTTGTTGTCTTTCAAAAACAGCCTGTGTCACCAGAGACTGAGAAGCAGAATGAGGTCACACTTCCTGTTGGGCTCACATCAGTGGCATTCACGCCCAGGAGGATGGTGAAACCTCCAGTCTTCTGGACCAGCGACAGGTGAGGTGTGGCCCACAGATCAGACCAGCTGGATACATCATGGTCGCTCGAGGGATGCTTTTCTGAGCTACCCCGTCACACCGAGCTGTAAGAACGTAAGAGAAACTTCCGGAGAACACTTCTCAAACACTTCTTGCTTGTCATCTTCTGGTCCTTTTCAACATGAGTACTGCATAGTTGTGCTCTGTCCAAATCGACTCAGTTTATTGGCGATAATGCACGGATGCTATTAGATTCAGAATTTTATTCCATACCAAGAGCTGGATTTTATGAAAATGTCCGTCGTGGCAATATGTTGATTCACCAAAGGTTGAGCTTTCCAGGAAACTCCCTGGGTGGCATTTTACATTTTATATTTACATTTTAGTTGAGCTCAAAGAATTTCCTGCTGTCGGTGGGTCCCTACAAATCTCTGCTATTGTAAATGATAAAAAAAAAAAAATACGTTCCAACAATACTGAGGTGCATTGGGTAGTGGAAAGAGTGTGGGTGCAAAGCCCCAGGGGGTCAGCCCAGCAGAAGAGTTAATCTCATTCTTTCTTGGGGTTCTCCCAGGAAAGGGGTCCACCTTTCTCCCTGAGATGATGCCAAAGGCAGGATCTTCTATAGAACATGCTCCTAGCAACAGAAGCTGTTAGCGGAGCAGTCACGTCGAGTCTTGGTAGAAAGTTTGCAAAGATGACCCTCAAAGATGGTTGTGTGATCTCTTTCCCTTCAGTGTGGGCTGAAGCGAATAACTTGCTTCTCCTGCATAGATGAGACACAAGTGATGGGTTGGCACTCCCACGATTAGGTTACAAATGACTGCGGCTTCTGTCTTGTTGGCCTCTCCATTACCTTCTAGGCTTACACGCTTTGAAGAAACAAGCTGCCATGTTGGAAAAGCACACAAGACCAGAATCTGAGGGGTTATCTGAAATGCCAGTGAAGGACTGAAGCCCTCAGTCCGATGGCTGGGAATCCACTCAACCGCCACGTGAGTGCCTCAGAAGTAGATCTTTCTCCAGCTGAGTCTTGCCATGACTACGGCCCCAGTCAGCCCTTTGATTCCAGCCTTTGAACACCCACAAGCAGAGAAACCAGCTCAGCATTGTCCATATTTCTGACCTGTAGAAACTATGTGATAAAAAATCGTATTTGAAAGCACAAAGTTCGGGGGTAACTTCTCACACAGCAATAGATAACTAATCCATAGTCCCAACAAATGTGACTTCCTGGGCCATTCGTCGTTCCAGTCTATTTGGTCAGGGTGCCAGCCTTAGAATACAGGCACGTTTATTCGAGGCTGGGGCTGGTCACATCTGCCTACATTTACCAGGTAGCCATTTTGCCCAACGGCAGTTCTGGGCATCTGGTACCCTCTTTCTTGAAGCCCATAGCTCTCCTCCTTCTTGTTCTCTCTCTGTGTCTCCTATTCTTTCTATTTTCATTCTCCTCCTTCCAGCCCTGGCTAATGTTTTCTAGAGGAGGAAGGGGAAAAAAAAAAATCCTTCTGACTCCTCAAGACCCTGGGCTCTGCCCAAGTCCACAAGTCCCCTTTCCCAAAAGACTGACGTCAAAAAGACTTTAGTCTATTCCTTTGCTGATCTGGAACATATCAGGACACCATTAATGATCACAATCATTGCTAACTTTATGGAGCCCTTACTAGTTCCCAGGCGTTGTTCTACTTCCTTCACAGATATTATTAGCACATTTAATCCTCATACCAACTCCACGAGGGAGGCTCTGTTATGAACCTCATTTTACAGACGAGAAAACCGAGGCACAGAGAGTTTGATACTTCGCTCAAAGTCACGTGGCCGGTGAATGGTGAGCTGGTAGAACTGAGACTACGAGCCGGCCTTCTTAACCTGTAAGCAATAACGATCACATCAAACACGTTTGAGCATTTCCTACGAGGCAGGCACCGTATGAAACACTTCGTGTGTGTGATTAAACCTCACCCAGCCCTAGGAAATAAGTACGATTATTACACGCAGGCAGGATGGAAGTTTGGAGGGTTTACCTACACCATCGAGTGTCAGGGATGGAATTCTAGCCCTGGAGCCCACCCCTTCGCTCCTCTCTCCCCAGATCCACTTGTCTCCTTGCCGTTCCTTAAATGCCAGACTCGTGCCTGCTCCAGGATCTCGGGCTCATTCTTCTCTCTGCCCAAAATGGCCCCCTGATAGTCACAGGGCGTTCTCTCACCTCCCTTGGCTCTCAGCTCAAGTGTTTTCCGTCACTAACTAAACTGCCCTCCACACACTCTCCTCACTCGTTCCCTGCTTTATTCTTCTCCTTAGTACCTTTCACTCTGTCACATACCACAACTTTTATTTTTTGCAGTGATAAATTCATTCCTCAGCCAGACTGTAAGCTTTATGAAGGCAGAGAGTTTTGTCACTTTTCTTCATTCCTGGAGACCCAACATCAAGGATCCTGCCTGCCAAGAAACAGGTTATCCAGAAACATTTGGGGAATCAATAAATAACTGAAGCAAAAGCTAGGTAGAACTGAATTGAGCCCTCTGTCCTGCATGCTAGAAAGCAGCACTTTTATTATTTTTTTAATCTATTTTTAGTGTTTTGTTTATTTTGAGAGGGAGAGAGAGAGGCAGAGAGAGGAGACCGAGAATCCCAAGCAGGCTCTGCACTGTTAGTGTGGAGCTGGATGCGGGGATCGAACCCATGAACCACGAGATTCTGGCCTGAGCCGATGTCAAGAGTCAGACGCTTAACCAGTGGAGCCACCCCCGTGTTTTCAAAAGTATGTTATGGGGCACCTGGGTGTCTCTGTCGGTTAAGCGTCTGACTCCTGATTTCTGTTCAGGTCAGGATCTCAGGATCTCACCTCTCCATCCCGACAGGTGCAGAGCCTACTTGGGATTCTCTCTCCCCTGTCTTTCTGCTACTCCCTCACTCTCCCTCTCTCAAAATAAAATAAACGTAAAAAAAAAAAAATAAAGTATGTTCCCCAGAATGCTCAATCCTCCATTATCAGTGGAGGGTATGTGTGTGGAAGGGGAAAAGTGTAAGCAGTAAATATAAGCCTGCTCTCACCACTAGAAGTCCTACCCAGAGCAACGAGGCAAGGAAAATAAATAAAAGGTATTCAAATCAGAAAGGAAGAAGTAAAATTATCCATTTGCAGATGACGTGATCTTATATATAGAAAACCCTAAAGACTTAAAAAGAAACTGTTAGAACTCATAAATGAATTCAGTAATATGGTTTTTCTCCTTTTTTTTTTTTTTTTTTTTTTTAGCATTTATACAAGATTTCTTGCAGCTAGAATTCCTGTCTCAAAAATGCTCTAGATACGTCCTTACTGTTTGCTCAGCGTTCATATTTGCATTACGGTGGAAATTTATTATTTTTTTAAGAGAGGACGAGAGAGAGAGAGAGGCTGAGAAATGGGGGGGTCGGGCAAAGGAGGAGGATGGAGACAGACTGATCAGCTCACAAAAACCCTAAACAAGAGCTTGCGTTCTTGGTGCAAGAACAGGGTTCTCTTCGTCTCTGTCATCCCCAGCGGCAAACACAAGGCGGATGCAAAGCAAGTCCTCAGAAGATGCGTGTGTTCATGGAGTCACAGAGCATGAAACGACCACCCTCAGAGACGCCAGTGACTGGAAATACGTGTCCCTGTGACTGGTGACAAAGAAACATCAAGAAATACCTGGCATTGGTATATCGATTATAATTTGCAAAACGTGTAAGATTTGTTCTATCGAATTCGATGTTCATCACAACCCTGTGAAGTAGATTTCCAACTCCCATTTCTATGTGAGGAAAGGAGCACCAGAGAAGGGTCTGGTTCCCAAACACTCTGGTAAAAGTGTCGGGTTTAACTTAACGACTCCTGGTTTTATTCCAAACCCCTTGGCTCTAGAATGCTTCATCATCTTAAATTGCTATAAAAAAAATAATAATAATGGCAAGAAATGAGTTAACGCATGGATTTCCTTTAAACGCATATGGTCTCCTATGATCTTCCTGATACCCGTAGTTCTAAAAAAAAGAAAAGAAAGAAAACCGAAGGGTGTTTACTCTGATCCTGAGGAAACGAACTCTGTTGAATGTTTTGCAAAAATACAAAAGAGGAAGTAATCCAATACCCGACCACAACGTGGTGTGGCTGCAATATTTTTTTAGCGCGGCAAGCCAGTCAACTGTGGCCATGCATGTACAGGCAAGTTCTCTGCCCCTCCCCCAGAGGGGAACCTTTTCATCTGCGCGTCAGGCGTTTACTTTGGAGAAGGTGGCATTGTGTTCGGGTCCCGACCAAGAGAGCAGACGCTTAGACCAATGGCCAAGGGACCAGCTAGAGCACATACTCTGACCCTGCACGTTCTTGCACGCTGACAGTCAACGTTGTAGGCAACCCACCTGTTTGTCTGTTTCACTGCCCAGTTCAGTGCCTCGGGATGGGGAATTAAGCCTATTTATCGTCAGCTCCTGGGGCCTAGCACTGACTTGGCCCATATTCCATAAATGCCTGTGGCGAGGAAATGGAAGCAGAATGATATTTTTTACTTGCCGGAGCCTGAATCAAAGCTATAAAGAACTAGAAGGCAATAATAATTTTAGAATCTGCATGGGCCACTTGTTTGAAGCTTACTCCTCCGCAAAGTGTTTTCCAAATGCCGCTTCCTCTCTGCAGTCTTCCTTGATTTGCGGAGTCAGCAGAAGCACACCAAGATATGCCTATTTCAAACCAATGAATATTTAATTGAATGTGAATATTGATACCGGGCTTGGTTGTTTCTATACCCATCGCCCCATCATGGCAAGTTACCTTAGAACTGGATACCTGGTTTTATTTTTCTTCCTGTTCTCTCACTGTGTATTGCCCAGTTCCTAGCACTCGGTAGAATTTCAGTAAAAGATTGTTGGGTGATTACACAAATAAATGAATAAGGGAAGAATGAAGCATGCCGTCTGCCTTATCTGAGGATGCCACCGAATTGTAGCTAGCTCCGTTCTCAAGGAAAATGACGATCAGCAAGGGGTTAAAAGTGTTTGCTGTTTGATTACTATTTACCTGTGTACTTGCTATTTTCTGTTGCCCACCCTCTCCGTTCCCAGTTTTAACCCTCCCCGGCAGTGGGGTGTCTGGGCGGCTCAGTTGGCTAAGCAGCTGACTCTTGATCTTGGCTCAAGTCATGATCTCATGGTTCCTGGGACTGAGCCCCATGTCAGGCTCTGTACTGACAGTGCAGAGCCTGCCTGGGATTCTGTTTCTCCCTCTCTCTCTGCTCCTCTAACTCCTCAGAAAAAAAAAAAAAAAAAAAAAAAAAAGTAAACTTAGAAAGAAAAAAACCCCACAACAATCCCCAGCGATGTGTTTCTACAGTGTAGAGACTGCCTCTAAAAGCAAACACGTAAGGAATCGGGAACGTGAATGTTGAGTCAATCCCTTACTAGATTTGCTTTCCTGGTTTTGCAAACCAGGACAAGCATTGTCAGTTCTGTTGCACGGCTCTGGGTTGTAATTTGGAGTTCCGGTCAGTATACGCCAGTTGAGAGGAGTATTCGTTGCTTTGCTGTCCAACTTCTATTCGCTTTCTTTCTTTTTAAAAAAAATTTTTTTTCAACGTTTATTTATTTTTGGGACAGAGAGAGACAGAGCATGAACGGGGGAGGGGCAGAGAGAGAGAGGGAGACACAGAATCGGAAACAGGCTCCAGGCTCCGAGCCGTCCGCCCAGAGCCCGACGCGGGGCTCGAACTCCCGGACCGCGGGATCGTGACCTGAGCTGAAGTCGGACGCTCAACCGACTGCGCCACCCAGGCGCCCCTATTCGCTTTCTTTCAAGCAGTGGTGCTCCAACTTTCTTTAAAGGACCTACTCACCCCCATCTCTCAGTCTATGAGGTTTGGGCCAGTCTCTGCTCCCACTTGCCTGGTTGGGGATGGGATCCACCTGATGGCAATCCAAATGACTCCCACGGCCATCACGCTTGGCTCACAGGTGGGCACCTGACTTAATATAGGCCAACGACAGAGTGACCGCCAGAGCTGCTTTTTGTATCAGGATGTTGTAATGACAAGGCCGAAGCTGCTGGGGGCCTGGAAGTGGATCCTGGGAGTCAAGCTAACCCCTAGGAAGCAGAATAAAACGATGTTGTAATCGATCCCTGAGTTAAACTGCCCCAGAAGGCCTACTGATCCCTTCTTGATTCCACAAATACAGACTTCCTTTATGCTCATGCTTGTTTGCATTAAACTTTCTGTCGCATGCAACCAAATGAATCCTAGCATGACACGGTTCTGAAACGTCGCGTACCTAAGAATCACTTAGGATGGCTTTGACACTGCAGATTGCCAATCGCCAAACCTATGGTGCAGGTTAGGGCCCCAAACTTGCATTTTAACGAAGAGCCCAAGAAGGTCTAATACAGATAATTGGTGGGGCAGTGCTCAAAAACACTGATATAGTTAACGGAAGTCGTAACAGTAAACAGCAACCCAAATCAGAGGAAAGGCGAAGCATCATAATTCTTCCTGCTTTCGGTAGAATGATTGTCTGTCTCACGTGGTCTGGGACTGCCCGGAAATACATTTGTTATTCTGACATAATTATAATAGTGTGCCTTTTTTTTTTTAATTACTCTTCTAAGTGTCCAGGCTTGGATGACAAATTTCGGGTCACTCCATTGTTTCAGGACAATCTGCACAGAAAGGACTTCTTTATCATTCAGATCTTTTGCTGCATTTCTAAGCTTTTGCTGAGTGAAACATTTTTTTTTCTATTTTATGACCTTTACTAGCAGAGGCTGATAGCTCAAAATCATTCCTGCTGAGTCACAAATTCTTAAAAATCTCAGAAAGCCAGAGGGCTTTTGAGGAGCATATGAACCTCGAGTAAAAGTAAATAAATAAAACAAAGTTGTTTATCATTTCCGATCATCTTTAGGGTGGACTCATTCTAAGAAAGCAGCATATAAACCCATACATCACACTGGGAATTATGTAAGAAATGAGAGCATGGTGCTGTGTGGACATATGGGAGAGATTGTATCTTTCCAGTCCATTCACATGTGGCCTAGAGGCCCATTAATTGAGAGATTAAGCCTGGAACAATGATCGCTTCTGTTCAGTTGATAAAGGGACAGGGTGACAGGCAAGACAGGTTCATTGGCAGGTGAAGGAAGGGAGGTTAGTGTCATTCTCAACGATTTTCAGGGGCGCCTGAGTGGCTCAGTTGGTTAAGCGTCCGACTTCAGCTTAGGTCATGATCTCACCGTTCATGGGTTCGAGCCCCGCATCAGGCTCTGTGCTGACAGCTCAGAGCCTGGAGCCTGCTTTGGATTCTGTGTCTCCGTCTCTCTCCGCCCTCCCCCACTCGGGCTCTGCCTCTTAAAAATGAATATCTATTGTAACAGTTCAGATATCTATTCAACTAGTGTATTTAAAAAAAAAATCAACTTTAGAGAAAAACACACAAAAAAATGGCCTGCTTGTGTTTCATATGTAATCGAAGAATATGTGATATTCAGTAGTAACTTTTTCCCTCCCTTAAAATAGGTATATAGAATTGTCAAATATTCCAGGAAATATAATGGTTTCATATTTATAGTTTTCATGTTGGAGGAATTTAGTTCAGTGATTTCTGCCTAAGGACTGTTGTTTCAAGATAATTTGCTCGCTGCTTGTTTGGTTCCACTCAAACACAGCTGTAAGTTCTTTCTTTCTATATTTGGAGATGAAGTGACTGATGGCTAACATTAACCATCTGGATGAGGGGTGTGCTGGGTGGGAGAGGGGGGTGGGGACATAGCCATGCAGAGCTTCGCTGCATGGCTGGGGAGTCATCTCTAGACTTTCCTACATCTGGGATCCCTGCGCTGATCCTGAACTTTGACTAGGCCAGAAGAGGCAATGATCGCCTATATGAATTTTCTTCAGGTTTATCAGACCTAACGCCACCTCTGTGAGTTAATATCATGTAACACCCTCTGCACTTTTCTGAAATTAAATTCACAGGTGGTATAATCAAGCTCGACACATTGAAAAAAAAACTTAACACGATGACATAACAGTGACAGAAGAACAAACGTTGTGGAAATAACTTATAATAAAAGAGGAAACTTGGTGGAAATATACATAAATGTTGAGCCATGATTCACAAACATAATGAAGTCGTCAAGGGCTAGCATCAAAATTTACGTTTACCTTGAATGTAACAACTAAAATGTAGGGTGATATGTGTGTATTCTATCAGTGTCTCAAATACCACGAGTAGCTTTGCATTTGTGGCTTGATTTTTAAAAATGGGATAAATTCTTGGACATTTTCATAGAAAAGAACAATCTTCCCTCATATTACAAGGTTGCTTCATTCTGGGAAAATTGAGTGTGTTTTAAAACCTTGCAAGGGGTGCCTAGGTGGCTCAGTCAGTTAAGCGTCCGACTTTGGCTTAGGTCATGAGCTTACGGTTCGTGAGTTCGAGCCCCACGTCGGGCTCTGTGCTGACAGCTCGGAGCCCGGAGCCCGCTTCGGATTCTGTGTCTCCTTCTCTCGCTGCTCCTCCCCCACTCATGCTCTTTTTCTCAAAAATAAATAAACATTAAAAAAATAAAAAAAATTAAAAAACCTTGCAAAATACTTTGTGCTTTGGTACAAAACCGAGTTCTAGGCTTAGGCAATTATGAAAAGGGTTTTGACCTACCTGAATGGTCGGAGGGACGTTCAAAGTCAGGTATGACCTTGGGCAATTCTTCCAGGTATGGGACTGTACTGTGCCTCTTAGGATGTCTAGGCAGCCCTTGTCTGTCCCATTAAATTGCAGTCGTGCCCTACTCCAACCATGTGACAACTAAAAATAAAGTCCCCTCTCCATTTTCAAAGTGTCCTTTAGTGGATGATATTAAGTTCATTGAAAATACTCAGCTGTACAATTCACAAGCCAGGAATCATTTACCTAAGACCTCGTTTCCATTTTTTTTTCTTTCAAGTTGTGTTATTGGAGCTGTCCCTTAATAAGTCTCAATTAAAATGGGATAATCATATTTTCAGGGTAGATTGGCAAATTCTCAACAAACAATGGAGAGTGGATAGAATCTATATTATCCTTTATATATGTATTTTATTTAAATTACAAACAATCTCGAATTTTCAGTGATGTCAGCAACAGATATGTCTTTTTCACTTCCTGGCTTGGGGGTCAGCATGGGTTCTGCCAGGGTTCGGTTAGTTATCTCTAGCCTGAAAGTCAGAAATTTGGTCCCTGGCACTGCCACTGCTGCTGGAGAAAATGTTCCTTATTTTGAACATCACTAGCAGCTTCTCATACACAGAACTCAGTGAGAGTCAAATAAATGTAGCTGAGAATAGCATTTTAACTGGAAGGGGAACAGGGAAGTGAGTTTCTGACATTTTCATCTTACTTAGTGTGAGGTTGACTCTGCCTCCAAAGACTCATAAGGTGAGTGTATCGGTCAGTTTGTGTTAGCTTATGCTGTGTAACGAACAACTCCCAAACTCTCAAAAACTTAAAACGGCAGATTTTAATTTTTCTCCTTACATTTACATATCATTTGCAGATTAGCAGTGAGTTATGGGCTCATCACGATCTGTCTAGAATCTGGGTGGCTAGAGCAGTCACCATCTCAAATATTGCTTATCACTGTGCCAGAGACAGAAATCTGGGTGAAGCGCCTTTTAAAATTACCAGCTAGCCATGACAAAGCTCACTTCCAATTTCATTTTATTAGCCAAAGCAAACCAAATGGCCACACATAATTCTAAGGAGGGCACAAAGGGCAAGCCTGTCATGTATCCAGAAGACTCTGGAAATATATGGCATAATGCATTAATGACAACCATGACGGTAAATTTCCCAAACATGGGTTGGGAGTTCAGATGTTGGGCAACTCCCATACAAGACAAATGTCCACTACAGACTGTCTTATTTATATCTTTTCTACGTATTGCCATGCTCACTCTAGCTCAGTAGCTATTAGTAACACAGTAAGTACTGAATGAATGTCTTTGGAATAAAAGGATGTGAATATAGTTGTTTAAATTACCAAATCTGACTATAATTAAAGCTTAAAGAGATACTTTGCTATTTTAACTCGACACTGTAAAGCATGATAAATATAAGTGTTATTAGTATGCAATGTTGCATTTAGAAAGCTTGAGATCCAGAGTGGTACATTGGGAACAGAGAGAAAAAAGATTTTCAGCTCAACATCGCTTTGAACGTGTTCACTAGTTGGTTTCCACACTGGGGAACACTTTCTCCTGTGCCTACTCCAGAGTTTGGTACATGGCAGATACACAATGAAACTAGTTCTGCCATCATTACCTGGGTAGTCTTGGGGAAGTCACATCAAGTTAGCCATAGGTTCTTTACCTGCACAACACACACAAGTGTTAATAGCTACCTTTTGTATTGTAAGGATCGCCTATACAATAGAGAACAATACAATTGGGCGAAAGCAGTTGTCATGTAATGTACTAATAACACAGCACCTGCCACAGAGTGTCCACTCAATAGCTGTTTGTTGACAGGGACAGCAAACATTCGCTCTATTCTTATTGTGGAATGGGGTGGATATCTAAGAAATTGCGTAGTGTAATTACAAAAGTTTGCCCAAGTGCTGGGGTTGAGCTTTGGCAATCTGTTTCCCACCAAATCAACCATGATAATACTCAATGGGCCCTGTCCTCATCTCTCAAAGGTCAGCAAACACTTCAGAACTCCTAATTGGCTCCCGGAGCTCGCTTTCCCTCTTTGCCTAATAACTGCCCCTCCCGCTAGCCATCAGCCAACTGCCGCCAAGCCCCGCCTCCCGGGGGTACTCTCCAATCGGAGGCGCGGCCTGGGCCCAACCCTCGCGAGTCACGTGACGCGCCCAGGCCCGCTTCCGGCGCGTCGCGGGCGGCTGACGTCGCTGGGCCCGGCGTCGCGTCAGGGCTGGCCGGCGGTGGCGGCGGCGGCGGCGGCGGAGGCGGCGATGGCAGCGGACACTGAACGGGCTTGAGGGCTCGGACCTGCTCCCTCCCGCGCGACCTCGGGCCCGACCCGGCGCTGCGGTCCCTGCTCTCTCGCCTCCTGCTTCCTCCCCGGCCGCTGCCTGGGCGGAGGCGGAGGCGGAGGCCCGGGCTGGCCGCCCTGCTCGTGCCCCGGCTTGGCCCCGGACGGCCCGGCTGCTGTGCGGAGAGGAGGCCGAGTCGGTAAGAGGCGGCGGCGGTGGCGGGGGCCTGGAGGCCGCCTGGATCCCGTCTGGCCGCCCGGGACGCCCCCGCGCTGGTGTCTGTCTCAGGCCCGCTCCACTCTCGAGTCCCTCCCCGTAACTCGCCGCCCCTATTGTCTAGGCGCCGCCGCTCCCTCTCCCCCTCCCTTCCTTCCCCCACTGCCGCGGGCCGGACGGCTGTCAAACCTGGAGGCACCTCCCGCTCTTCGCCAGCGCCGTCTGAGCCCTTCCAGCCCGTCTCTGCCAGCCGCTCCCGCCCCCGTCAACCCCCCTCCTTCTGTGGCCCCGCGGCCATTCTCTGACCTTTGCTTCACTTTCTCGGTGTTTTATCTTCTTGCGAATTTTCTCTTCCCTCCCAGTTGTCATCTCCTCCAAGTTTAACCATCCAGATAAATTTTTTTTTTTTTTTACCATTCTTGTTCGCTTTCTTTTCTGTTTATGTTCCTCTCCGTTCTCTCTGTCCCCTTTTCTCTTCTTGCTTCACGTACCCCTTCCCCCCCATAGACTGTCTTACTTTGTCTTTTCTTTATTTCCGATACCTCCCCCATCCTCCTCTCTCCACCCAAGGAAGAGGAAATCGTGCCTCATCCCAAAGTATCACTGGGAGTTTATAGGTCTTAACAACATCACTTTTATGGGTTCGAGGTTTTGTTGTAGAAAATAGTGTAACTGGTAAACTACCCCATACTGAGTTCTTCTTCTGAAGAACAGTAGAAAAGGTTAGATTTCTACACAAATAATTTAAGTAACTGCCTTGTATGTTACATACGCCCAGCCTTTTAAAAACAACTCATGCTTTTGTGCCTTTTGCACCAAATACCCTCTGACCTGGCTTCCTGTTAACTTTAATGTATTAATCTTTTTTCTTGCCATGGCCAGAGGATAGTCTCCCCTCCCTCCCCAGGAGTATTTAGGTTTGAGTTTACATATTTTTATGGCAAGTATTGGTGCCATGTTTAACCCTTACCTATTAACAGAGGTTCTTTCAAAGAGGAAAGGACAGTCGGTTTTTATGTTCACTGTTGTTATGTTTTGTCTCTTTTGAATTGTGAGAAAACCATTAAAAAAAACCCAGAAAACAGTTGTGTTTTCTTTTTTAACCTGGAGGAGAGCAGCATCCTATTAGTAATTCTAAATATCACGAAGGTTTTAGGGATCTCTCTTTTCCCCCCAAAATTGTAGGTTTGCGTTCCTGATTACCGTTATGTTTTGGTCTAGCCTATCTCAAAGTGCATCCATATTCCTAAAGTACTAGTTAGTGACAAAGTCTGCTTCAGGTGTTCTGGCTGTCCAGTGTGGCCAGAAGGGGAGTAAAGAGCCTACAAGTCAATGATCTAGAGAGGAATAGATAGTCCTTGGTAGTTTGTTGTTTGTCTAAATGTTACGACCACTTTTATTCGTCAGTGTGGGCGCTGTGTTGAAATAGAGCAGAAAGAAATTCTTTAGTTAAAAAAACCCATATCATTGTTGCTTATTGAACGTGAAGTGCAAGGAAGAAATTTCCGACGCCACTTTGCATGTTCAATTAAAATTACTGACTCATTGGCTACCAAAGTGGGAAATCGCAGGTAATGAAGAGTCCTGATCACAGGAATTATTATTGAAATTGTCACTGGCAGAGGAGTGTGCTACTGCTTCTTCCTTCTTTGTGCCTTATCTAGTGTCGTGTGCTATGAGGCACTCACACATTGGTTGAAAAACTTGATTAATTTGTACCCTTCAGAATTTCAGTAGTCCCATTCCAGAACCCTCAGGTGTCTTGATTTGTCCAAGACAAAAAACAGCTTCAGCTGGTGTGGAGAATTTTCTTGGGTATTTTCAAGTTCAAATCTAAAGAACGTTAGCCATGAGCAAGTTTTAATGCTCATCTGTTCTTTTGAAGTGGTTCTTTTTTATGTCCTTTCCCTTAATTCATCATCCAGACTGCCTGCAAGTTGCACCGTACTTTACCTATAGATGTTGGTACTCATCATTCCCATTTCTTTAAAATTTGGCAGTTATTTGGCAGTTATTTTAGCTTCTCGTGTGGGGTTTTAAAAATTCTGTCTTACTCCCTATGCATTTTATGCATTGGAGTCTAACTTTTTTTTTTTTTTTTTTTATTCCTTCCTCCCGAGGTAGTGAAAAGCAAATACAGAAGAAATAGGATCTCAAGATGAGTAAAAAGCCCCCAAATCGTCCTGGAATCACTTTTGAGATTGGTGCGCGTTTGGAGGCCCTGGACTACTTACAGAAATGGTATGGAAAACCCGGAGCCCTTGACCTGAAGCACCGTATTGGTAGCCTTAGCGTTGTTTCTCAGTTGCTCTTCTTCTGACCCTGGCAGAAACATTAACGTGGTCACGTTTTAAGTACCCATGCACTTTTTTAGCTTTCCTACTCTTCAACAGGCTTTGCAGGTGCAGCATGCCAAAGCTATTTGTAGTCAGAATCACTGTAGGGATTGGGAACTGAACTGAAAACAATGATCTACAATATGAAGTAGAGAGAGCGTATCAGTACCCTCGTGTGCTTACCATGAGCTATGTTGGGGGTGGAAGGGAGGGGATTAATTTCGATAGCCCAAGATTTGGATAGAACTTGATATAAATCTCTTTCCTTGGCCTGTGTCAGAGGTAGTCTTTCAAAATACTGTGGTTGATGGTTATGTTGAATATGTTGATGGTTCGCACAGTCACTGCTCGTTCACTGTCCCATCGAAAATCAAAAACCAGTTTACATCCTCTTTTCCCCAGAGGGTGGTGAGCTAAAGGCAGGTTGTTACTGTCCCGTACTAAATGGGCAGCACTTTCAGACCTTTTTAAATTTCTTCTGTTCTGGCCACGTGTGATAAGTGGTGAACACACCTAACACACCCTAACACCCTAACACCCTAACACACCCCTAAAACAGCGGTGTAGGGATAAAGCCGTCACCGGAAAGGAGAGAAGGGGAAACAACACACAGGGACACCGGGCCACAGTAGAAATGACAAGGATTCCCTCGTTCTCCTAGGGAATGCTTTCCTCATTCTCCTTAGCTGCCCCTAGTTCTCCCTGGGTGGAAGTCTGTTCTTGCCACCCTCAGCCCACTCTCTGAGAGGGGCATTGGAGAGCTCCTCTGCAGGCAATGCGGTTGTCTGGCTGTCTTGAAGCCCGTCGCTTTGATGAGGGATCTAGTGGCTTAGCAACTGCAGGACTCTGTCCACCAGACCTTCTGACATTTTCTCTCACGATGACTCCCTTCAAAACATGGCAGGCATTTTATAAATGCGCTTTTGATGGACTTGCATTATGTCAACCTCCTGAGTTGGCAAATGGCAGGCAGAGAAATCTTGTTTAGTCATGATATTTGACTTTAGACCAGTCTGGGATCTTTGTCTCTTAGTATCTGGCTTTAGAATTCTGCACGTCCCTGATTCCCAGGTTGACGGGCTCTGTCGTAGGCACTGCTTTAGGACAGTTTAAAACTACAGTCTGATGTGGGAAGGCAGTTATTTGGCCCCATGCCTATGAGGTGCATCTCAGAAGATAGTTCTTTTTAGGGGACTTAATTGTTATTTCCCATCAGGTGGAGAGTGAACATAGTAGTTCCCAGGTGGGGTTTGGGAATCACCTGGGCCTGGCAGTAGCATCTCTCGTAGTCATGAAGCTAAAAACGATCTCTAGACATGGTGGGGTGCTCCCTGGGGGGGCACATGTGCTCCTGATTGAGAAGCGCTGCCTTGCTTAGTCAGTAGTTGGCCCTCTTTGGTTCTCATTTGACCCAAAGGAGCTTTTTACTCTGAAGGCACACGGTAAATCTCTGTGTGATAGGTATGAGAAGTGATACTGCTTCTCTGATGCTCATCTTTGTCTCTTAGGTTTTGGTTTTTTTTTAAGTTAGTAGCTTTTGAATCACTAGTTAATTCATATTAACGTATTTTCTTAGGCTTCTCAACTGACAAAGATGCAGTTGAACTAGCTTCCGGTTTTGGACAGGGACCCAGTTTATTCATTTTCTTAGAGGTTTCCAGGGATATTAACATAATTTCAGCATTAGTAAGAAATTTGCTTTCAGTGGTGAAATGTTTTCTAATTCAGCAGTTGTTAAATTGATGGCCCCGTAGTTAAAACGATTATAAAAGAGAACTACTTTAAAGGTGAAGCCCGAAAGTGCTTTTAGAGTACTTGGAATTTGAGAGAAAAAATGATCATTGTAGCTAAGTTTTTCCATGGTCTTTTGCTTCGCACCAAGAAATTCCTAAGTGTTTAGGTAGTGTGATAACATGCATCCGTAATCACTGATGAAGTTTAGCTTTCATTTTAATGACTCCAGTAGTAATGGTGTCTTTAAAGTACGTAAACATCAGCCAGAATAATCTTAGATGATAATCAGTGAAACATGTCATTGATTCGATTTTTGTGAGCTCATTTATATGATGATTTTAGTATTCTGCTATGGTTGGCTCCTTAATTAAAAAGGAATGAAGAGTATTGTATATACATATTCTAGGTAGTTAAATAATTTTCTTACTGTGACTTTGTTTATTAATGTTGGTAGTCTCAAGAACTAGGTAGCTTTGGGTGACCCCTGTCATTTAGTATTAAAGTGCTTTACTGTAAGACAACTAATTGTTAAGGTTTAGTGGGTTTTAGATGGGCACGAAAAGTTCTACGAGACACAGTACTCTTTGGCAGACTTTATTTTTAAATGAGGCAATAAACCTTATTCTTTGTATCATTCCATTTGGGTCATTCTGTATTTCATATAAATGCTACAGTTTTTTGCTTGAATGTCAGGTAAAAGTGTAGAAGGATTATTTGCGTGTTGAGAAACCTTAATATTTTTGGGAGGAGCAAAATAGTTAATCACTGAAAATTTGCTGAAATGATTCCACTTTCACCCCTCCCTCCCTGTTTTCTTTCCTGTTCTCTTCTGTTGCACCCATATAGGATGCTTCATCGTCCATATTTACTCCGTACAGCTGGGAAAGTATTGGGTTCCTATTTGACATAAGTCAAATAGGCACTGGACAGGGAGGGACATGTAGGAGTGCAGATACTGCTTGCCGTCTCTGCACACAAGACATTTCCAGTAAAGCCATGTGTCTCTTATGAAGGAAATAACATCACGTGTTGATAGAGAAGTGCGAAGGGAAAGTGGTGCGAGTGGAGCACCCAAAATGTCAACATGTCCTGTATGTAGAAGATGTGTCCTATATAAAAAAAGGAAAATCGTTATTACTGTGTGCCCTAGACATAAAAAGATAAATTCTGAATTAAGTGGGCAGAAATCAACAGAAATAAGCTTCCAGTGTTAGGTTTGGGGGTAGATTTGATTTCATAGGAAGATACAATCCTTTTCACATGGAAAGTACATGGTTACTGCTTGAGCAAACCATATTACATTTTCTTTAAAGTTCAGAAAGGTATTTCATCCTTGAAAATACAGTCTATACATTTTTTAAAGTAGTGATTTGTTACTTTTTGTTTTCAAAGTCATTTTAGAGCTACGTTAGGAAACTCATTGATAGTTGGATTACCTATGAACACTCATGAATGTAGGCCGTAGGAAGCCATTGAGAGGCCAGCTGTCTTCAGTTACAGTATGTGATTTTTGGATTTCCTATACTGACTGAACCTAACTCCTGCTGAGTAGTTAGGTTGCTTAATTTTTAATTAATTTTCTTTGATTTTTAATTTTTAAGTTATTTTTGGGGGGGTTGCTTAATTATAAACTGTTACAGTTTTACGTAAAATAGTTTAGTTTCTCAACAGCCTTTTAATTTAAAAGACTTTTGTAATATTTATAGCTAATACAGTCAATCATTTTCTTTTACTTTTTTAAATGTTTTATTTTTAAGTAATCTGCACCCAGTGTGGGGCTCGAACTCACAACCTTGAGATCAAGAGTCACATGCTCTACCAACTGAGCCAGCCAGGTGCCCCCACAATCAACCATTTTCTGTCTTACCTCCGCAACCCCGGTGTATTCAAACTGTGACATACCAGATTTATAATCTCTTGAGTGCAGTAACATCATAAGAATGAAAAAGAATGCAGGTGGTTGATACAGGAGTATATTTGGAGAAATAAAGTTCAGAGTTGAAGTTCTGTTGGAGATACTGGAAGTGAATTCTAAGGACAAACAGGTAGGTCCAAAGTCAGACTGTCACTTTCTGATCCTGTAATATGGATAAGTCCTTGACTTCAGTTAGTGTATCAGTAAAATGGAAGCAATGTTACTGTCTTTTCCTTAGAGGATCATTTTAAGGATTAAATAACGTGTGTAAACTTGCTTCAAATTCTACAAAATAGTGCATAATTATAAAGCACTGAAGTAAATACAAGGGAAGAGGGAGAGTTGAAAAATAAGTCTTTGAGGATCTGAAGACTTAAGTGTGTAAGTTTTTAAATGTAGCTTTAGTATTGAGGTGACAGTGGCCTGGAACGTACGAGGAAAATCATGTCATTGTAATCAGCTATAAACTGTCTTTTTTGAGGTGATAATGAAATGTTTTGTTACTGCAGAGCTTTACAGTTGATAAAGCATCCTTGCAAATATTATAGTTTCTAATTATTCTGAATATTGGTCAAGAAGAAAAGTGATAACGTCAAACTGGTTTGGACTACTGATTTAACTTCTGTCTTTTGAATGAAATTGAAATAGTTACTCTGTAGCAAGTGATTTAGTTATGAAGACAAAGTAAATATGCTCTGAAAATTTGAAATATAGAGTTAATTTAAAATATTCAGATAAAAAAATAAAATATTCAGATGAGTTAATGCACTTCTGAAATTTTTTGGAATATTTCTATTCTCTTCTAGATATAAAGGAAAGGAAAATGAAAAAAAAAATGTGGAGATATCTCCAAGTATCAGAGTTTGATAGGATAGTGTGAACTTGAATTGGCAAATGCTGTTTCCACCCATTGGGAGTGTTTTGAACTGTATGGAACGTTTGCAAATGTGAGTTTTTAAAATGCTCACAAATAGAATTTTAATAGAGTGGGAAAAATTGAGGAAATTTAGATTGTAGCAAGTACAAATACTTTCTAATTTGAACAAAAGTACATATTTTCTGAATAAAAAGGGTTGCCTTTTTCTAATTGAATTTAGTTATTCAAAGGCAAATATTAATAGAAGTAAGTTGTGTTATCTCTATTTGCAGTAGAAAAATGTTCCTGGGAAGTAGTAATGTAGACCAAATTTTAAAACTCAAGTCATTTTTAAATTATATTAGTTGAGTTCAAAGTTTGTAGAAACCTTAGGTGAATA